AGAACTGAACAAATACAATCAGAATGGTTTAAAGCAAATTGCTGATTTTCACAAGAATGTCATTATCTCCACCCACCCCTTTTCTAACTGTTTTTCCCAGTTCAGGGTAGTCAGGGAGCCAGAACCTATCTAAGCACACAGCACTTACTGTACAAGGCAGGTTATAGTCTGGATGGGGTGAAGGTCCGTAAGGGAAAACACACAAACAATCACACACTCACACCTGTTTTCCCAGAAGCCAATTAACCTACAGTACCAGTCTACCTGTCTGTGGACTGTGGGAGGAAACCAGAGAATGTTGAAAACCTCAGAGAACACTGAAGTGTAATGTAACATGTGATCTATAGTACATCACAAGTGTGAAACCATGCCAAGGAAATATTTTTCAATTTCAAATCCACACAGCCATTGCAGTACTCAGCTAGTTGTGTGCCATCCCCCGCCATCTACAATTATAACGTATATTGTAGGCTTTATTGAACCAGAGTGGAACAAGTAATCTTCACTTTAGTACTTTGGGACTCCAAATGGAGACATACACTAGCTTTGAAACTCCAGAGTTTGTAATATTATCATAAACTTATCACTTGGTGTTATTTCTCAAGTGTTGAATTTACAGAAGAAAGGTATTTTTTAAATAAATGTTCTGTTTTCTCACCTTTTCTGTATGCAACCACAGCTTCAGTGTGTTATTTCCCTGAATATTGTAGTAAAATCGAAAGGCACAGCTAGGCCCCGAAGAGTGGTATTTGGAACTGTTAAGGAAGACACTCTGGGAGAATGTATCGTTGTTAGCTGCAACCCACATGTAATGTCCTATTAGAAAATAAGGGAAAATAAAGAAATCAGTCAAAACACAAAAAATACCAAATTCAGAAATCCAAAAATTTCTGAATACGTGAGAAATTATTTTTCTAAAGAATAAAAAGAAAACATTGCTTCAGAATCAGTTCTTTATTTATAGCTTTTCTATTGTCAAAAGTTGTTATGAGCAGTCAGTAAACTGGGAATGTTTACATCTTTAACCAACTTTTACACATTTATTACAAACCTAAAACTTAAAATGTGTATTATGCATTTCACAGTTGACTCTCTATATATTGTGACACTCTCTCAAAGCAAATAGCCAGCACCCATATCACCCTGCAACTCACAACTGGCAGCCCACTGAAGCTAAGCAGGTGTGAGCCTGGTCAGTACCTGGATAGGAGACCTATGACAACCATAGGGAAAAACTATGGTTGCTGCTGGGAGTAGTGTTAGTGGGGCCAGCAGGGGGTGCTCACCCTGCGGTCT